TTGGGAAACATGACAATGTGTGAGAATAAAGTCTGAAAATAAAGGTGTAAAGAATAAATATCACACACACACACACACACATATGTACACCACACAAACGTTTGTATATATGTATATATATAGTTGCAGTATAAATAACAGGTGGTTTCTGTGGGTGTTTAATAAACACAAATACGCCAGGTAAGCGTCTACAATGGGGATTGGCTAGCACCCCTAGTAGATGGGTATTATCGAATATAAGTGGTAAGCTATTATTATTATTATTATGCATATATATATATATATATATATATATATATATATATATATATATATATATATATATATAAGCAAATGCAAGGATATAGATCCGACAGTATGAAGAAAAAATATACGGAAAAAAAAACAAACAAAAATCATATATGCAATTATGCTGTTTTAATGTTAATATGTCAACGTCGGACGTTTTCGGTCTAATAAACCATCTTCAGGGCATATTCAAATTGTCATGTTGAATTGATAATGTTAATTATATTTTATGAATATCCTGAGATGGTTTAATATCGACGAAACATCCGACGTTGACATATTAACATTAAAAAACATATAATTACATATAAATTTTTTTGTTTTTTCGTATATATATTTTTCTTCATATATATATACAGGCTATAACTGCAAAATTGTTCAAATCAGGTAACAGCATGGGATAATTGCCCATCCTACATGTTTAGCATCTAAAAAACAATAAAATAATTGAGTTTTTTTTTTTTTTTTTTTTTACAGGTTTTCAGATGATTAGCTATCTTGACCCCAGTTTTTTATAAGAAACACTGAAAAACCCTTTGAGTTATTCAGCTAGAAACGGGAAAGGTTAAAATCGTTTTGTATCAGCCCAGTCTCAGTGAGACGAAAAGGATTATTCAGGCGTTCAATAAAATACCAACATTCATATACTCTCGTTTCCATATTCAAATTCCTTTTTAAAAACCATCAAGAGATCGGCGAACAAGTTTAAAAAAGAATGAACGGTACAAATAAAAACTGCATCAGCAGGTCACAACAGCAAGATGGACTAAAATTTCAACTTAGAGCTAAATACATTCTTATTGTTCAAAGTAGAGTCTAATAGTATTATACAAACCTAGGCGATTTCCAGTAAGATATCTTTAATCCTTTATAAGATTCAATGTTTCAAAGCTTTTTCTAACAATTAGAAAATTTTACTGTTACAGGATTTAGACAATATTGCTTTTACATCCGGTGTGTGTGCTTTTGGCATATATATATATATATATATAAGTGCGCAGGTATGCAGAAAATAGAAAAGAACACGTTGGGTGCATAATCCGGAGTTCCTTAGTATGTCTGTTTTATTTTAAAGACAATTGCCCTATACAAATGAAAGGCTTATATTATAATATTTTTGTTTATAAATATGATTCCTTCGCTACATAAGAGTTCTTATGTTTCAAAAACGAAAGCCGAGACCATCCAAATAATTATTAGAATTAAGTTGAATTGAGGTTTCATCTTCAAGCGAAATTTTAGGAATAAATTATTCTATTTTCTATTATATTCTATTATTTTATTCCTAAAATTTCGCTTGAAGATGAAACGGGACTAAACACCCTCTTTCAACTTAATTTTATTATTTTGGCTATAAGAACTCTTATATGCGAAGAATCTATTTTAAACAAAAATATTATATATATATATATATATATATATATAATTGGGCAGATACGGCAATTATTTTAAGATATTTTTTATGTTTTATACATTCTTTTTATAGATGCAAAATATTTAAGTAAATGCTCTGTTTATTAAAAACAGTATTAACAACGTTACCGACCTGAATGTGCGAAAATTGTCATAGAAAATATGCGTCTCCGGCGAAAATCGAACCTCTGTCTATACGGAACAAAACCTGATGTGCTTTTACCGAGTTTAGCCTGAAGGAGCGTATATTTACACAAGGTCCGATTTTACTGTTTTAAACTACAATTTTAATAATTTTCTCACGTACATTCATATATGTTTCTCTAAAAAAAACAAATGTATAATTATAAAAAAGTCTTCAAATAATTGTCGGACATTTTTATGTTTATACATTATTTCATTTAGTTTATTTGGAAACGCTCTGAGCAGTATTAACAATATTTACGAGGAAAACCATTTTATAAAAAATTCGTACTTTAAAATGGATCAAAATCGAACCGTCATTTAACCTGAAAAAGCACTCCTCTGTGTCAGGCTATATGACGGTTCCGTATAGGATACAGGTTCGATTTCTGTCGGATGACGCATATTTTCTATGACATTTAGGACGGACATTCAGGCTGGTAAATGTTGTTAATACTATTTAAACATAACAGAGTAATATCGTTTTTCGCCGTTGTTTCATCATCGCCTTGGTTTGACGATCAAATAATTAAAAAAATTGTTTAGTTTCTTTTCAATCATTTACGTTAGTCACGGGTTGACGAAGAAAATCCTAATCTTCTTGCCTACACGGATGATGTCTACCTCTCATTGTCTATCCGCTACTCTATTTTTGAATCTATTTCGTTTTCTTATTTCTTTTTAGCATCGATTTTCTTGTTTCATTTTTTTATAGATATTTTTTCTTTATTCTGCAATCGTTATATATATATCGTGATATAAAGAACATTAAACTGGAATGAATTAAACGACAAATACTTATATATATATCGTTTTGGGGTACAATCTCTCTTTTATACAAGTTTCATGGAATTTTATGACTCAGTAGAAAAGTTTTCTTCTGATAAGTTTCGTCCTTCAGGATATCATCGGGCGAATTTTGTTAACCAGACTGACTGGGGTAAATTCAGGATCTGCTTCATGATTTTGCCGTCTATAGTTTCCGGTTTTTTAAGGACCATGTCAGCAAGATCAATGTGAATATTGAGAAGGGCTCTTTTCTCAAAACGAGAATTAAATGACCTTTTTAATCGAAATGCGAATAATAATAATAATAAGAAGAAATGTTAAGCAATCAAGTCTGGTATTAACCTATTCAATATACTGAAATTAAAATTTTGCATTCTTTACTTTTCGCCCGAACTATTAATAGATACCGACTTGTGAAACACAGTTATTTTTAGGTCCAAAACATTCTTAATTCCTTACTACAAAAACATCCTTTATCGAAAATACCTGCTTCGAATCCATAAAAAACGAATTAATACTTTTTTTTTTTTTTTTTTCTTAAAACTTTCTCTCTTTTTTTTCCTCTCGGATACACAAATCTGTGTTCCTTCGGAGTTTAAATATATCGTGTATAATAAAAAAACCCTCTAAAACTCCTCATTTTGATTTTAAAGCACAATTATCCTCCCTAAGCTCATATAACCCATTTTTAAGCAATATCCTCTCTATCTTTCTTACCCTCTATCAATCTTACGGCACTTCTTCCCGTCTCTTGATATCATCAACCCTTTCTTTTCTTGACACTGTTCTTTTCGTCTCTTATCCCTCAATTCTCTCTTATTATCTGTTATTTATCTCTTTGACCTCTCTTTAAACCTTTTCCATAGACTCTATAAATCCATTCAGTACCAATTTTCTCTCTATTACTCAATTGCTTTCTTAGATTCAGTTATTTTCTCTTGATATCAGTCAACAAAATCTTTTGGGTGTCACTGTTCGCCATTTGTCGATATTTCAATTCCTTCTTAGCAAAGGTTATTTTCTTGTTATCTCTCTTTAAAGGCAATTTTCTCAATAGGTTGCCGTTAAACTGAATCTCTTACCCAATTTTTCTCTCTAGGCCCAACCTGAATAGATTCAGTCGTTTCCTCTCTTGCAACCAGTCAATCTGCTCTTTTTATGACACTGGCATGCCATTTCCTTTTGCCGCTGGTGGCTTCTTGGATTTCGTTTTCCTCTCTCAATGTTATCCTTAAACAGACCTCTTCTTGACCCGTTAGTGTCTTCTCCAGACTCTGTTTGATCCTCGGGTCACTTCAAAGCTTGCACGTTAGACTCAATTTGTTCCTGTTACTCTTTTAGATCTGTTTTTCATATTTCTCACTAAAGTAATCAGCACGGGGCTTCTTTTGCAGACCAATTATTTTCTTCATCATTTTTACGCTTTCTTTATATTCCGTCTCCCCCATTCACTTAGGCGTTTCGTTTCTCTCTATTTCCTGTCCTTTTTTCTCTTAACTCTGTAATTCTCTTTCTTTCAATCTTTCCCTTTAATTATCTCTTTTAAAACTCTTATTTTCATCATTGAACTCTGCACACAAAACTCTCACTCTTTCTTCCTCTATCAATCATTTCATATTTTTGTTTCTTTTTTTCTTAAAACTTCTCTTTATTCCCGTATTCGTCTCTATTATCTTCAGCGTTTTTCTGTAGAACCATCTTTCTCTCTTTTCGCTGTTCGCCTATTCTTTTTGAGGAGATTGTCCTTCTCGCTTATTTAGGCTTTTCAGATATCATTTAACTTTTTTTTTTCTTTTCTACGGACCTTTTTTCCATTTCTATCCCCCCCCCCTCTCTCTTTTTTTTACTCAATTCAACTTATTCCAATGTGACTTCTTTTTTCTGTTTCGCATTTTCCGTCCCATTGCACATCTCTCTTTCCCAGATATTTTAATTTTTTCCCCAAACGTTAATTTTTTTTCTCAACCACAAATTCGAACGTTGGGTTGCACACCTTTTGCTAACAACCAAATTCCATCGCCTTGCAAATTGTTCTTTTCTTTCACAGGCCATTATTTTTCACTTTTCATTTTCCTAACTCTTTTTCCATTTTTTTCTGTTAATCTTCTTTCTGGGTCTCTTTCAGCACTGCATAAATTCTATTCTTTCTTTTTCTGGCTCCTTTTTCTTTAAATCCTTTTCATCTAATTCTCTATCTTTCTCCTTTTCCTTTCACTAGAATAAGTCTAATAACATGTCTTTAGAAATAAAATGAATGCATAAATGTATATTTTCCTTACAATCGGATACTTCTTGGAAAATCACTCCTTAACTCAATCTTCCTCTCTGTTACGTCTTATTTTTTCTGGCACTCTTCTATGTTTATGGACATTTCACCTTTTCCTTCTAAACCCTTTTCTCTTTTTGACTAATCATTTTAAGCCTGTAAGAAAATATATTTTTAATTAAACTTAACTGTTTAAATTACCGATTTCAAAATTGGTTTTTATATAAATACTTGACATGTAATGTGTGTATCGAAATGTGTGCGTGTTTTGTGTCTGTAAGTGTGTGTGGAAATGGCATAGAAGTGTGGTTAAATTTTTTTGAGCTGGTATTTCTTTTACATTTTTCATTATTTTTTGAGGTTTTTTAAACAATTCAGTTCGACAAAATTTTTATAAATTAAATTAATTAATTTTATATTTGCATTTTCAATAAAAGCTAACAGGTTCGTGCGTAAGTGCTACATCAATGTAATCATAAATATATATAATTCGAATATGAAAAAACGCGTCAATAAAAAAACTTTTTCCACTTTATTCTACATTGTTTCCACAAATAACGTATAAATATATATATATTCATCTTATGAGCAATGGATTCGATTTAAAATGACTACAACTAATTTTTTTAATCTTTCTTCTTTGATTTTAGGGTCTTTTTTTTAATCTGGGTAATATTTCTCCACCCTTCCCGACCATCTTTGAAACCTTTATTCAATCATATCTTTTTATTGCCTCTTCAACATTTCTTCGGTGGCTGTTAGAATACAGTTATAAAAATACAGTGCTGTTCGATAAAACTTGAATACCTGACTTTTTTTAGAAGACTGGAAATTTTCTCTTCTCCGATGAAACGAAAGTTGAATTAAATTTAAAGAATAAAGCGATCTAAAATCTGAAGAAGCTTTAGCTCTTTGAATTTAGCAATAAGTATACTGTCAAGAATCCGTTCAATTATAATGTTCTGGGGATGCTTTTCTTTACATGGAACTGGTTTCTTAAAACCTATTAAAAAGAACCTCAGGGCAGAAGCAGTACAAGAGAATTTTAGAGTCTTTTCTGCTCCTCTTCTGCTGAAAGGGTGCGAATCGACCCCCTAAGCTCATTTTATGAAGGATAATGCTCCTTGTCACAAATCAAAATTGATGAAGGAATAATTTGATGAAAGCAGGTGAGTGTTATGATATAGCCACCCCAATCTCCTGACCTCAAACCACATAGAAAAATTATGGATCATTATAAGTACAGGCTCTCGAGAAACAGTTGAGCAACAAAGGTTTTTGATTGTGAATTTCATATCCGAATGGAATTCAATGCTTGGAAATTTGCCAGAACTAATCAAGTCAATGCCAAAAAAGGGTTGAAAAAGGTTATTCAAAATAAAGGAGGACCCATACATTATTAAATATTTCGAACTATATTACCTATAATAAATAAATTATACCTCTATTATTCTTTATTTAAAGCTGTTCGGTTATGTTTCTATTGATTTATTAGTTTTGGGAAATACGTGAGTCACTTTTTGCACAGTTTTTTCCCTAAATCTTTTTATATCCAAAATTATAATTATCATTAGAATACCTTAGGGTGATAAACTTTTTTACTAGGTGGTCAGGAATGGTTCTTTTTATATTCGTAGGCAAAAAAACTTTTAGTAAAAAAAAATTAGTTTGACCTCAAAACAATATATATATATATATATATAGGCGAAAATATTTAAGTAAAAAATCAGGTATGTGTGTGTGTAGTCAATTTTTATCGAACAGCACTATATATATATATATATAGAGCCAGATCAGTTCAATCAAATCAGGAGAAACTTTTTGTTTTCCGCCTTACGGTACCTTAGGTGATTTTTTTTTTTTATCAAATGACCACTTACCGCTTTATTTGTTTAATAAACTAATGAACGCTATATTGTTATTTTCAAAAATAAACAAAACAAATGCACGACATTGAATGTAATAGAAAGGAGGGGAGGAGAAGAGTAATAATAATAGTAGTAGTAGTAATAATAATAATAATATTGTAAGTGTATCAGTAGGGGAATAATAGTATATTAAAATATAAGAATCTATTGATCAAGTAAGGAAAGGATTTATTAGCGAACTGTTTTTTTATAATTGTTCCATCCTTTTTTTAAATCATTTTGATTTGCTTTGTAACGTGGAGGACTTCAAGCTTGTATGAGATATAAGAACCTATTTGATCTCTGCGTATTCATATATCAACGGAACTTTTCTTGAACTGTTTATATAAAATAGTTCAATCGATTTTTAATATTTCCTATTTGGAAATCGTCTTCGAATACGTTTTCCAGTATCGCCCACGTCATTTGTTTTGATGATCATATTTAAACGGAATGGGCTGATCTTATATAAAATTTCAGTTATCTGTTTGGATTTTATTGCTCATATATATATATTTATATATATATATATATATATATATATATATATATATATATATATATATATATATGCCTTGGGTTGGTGCATAATTATTAGGCGTTTCTGTAGGCGAGTTATTTGTTAATAAAAATTAGTGTTTTGTTTACTTTTTCAATAAATATATTATTTTATTTTCAAGTCATAAGAGTGTCGATAATCATTACCTCCGGAATAATCATTTAAAAATGCTATTGTTGGATTGCTGTGTTTGTCTTTTTATAATACTATTTAAAAAAAAAAAAAAACGCTTGATAATTATGCACCAAACAAATATGTATATGTGTGTTTACGCCAAACAAGGCAATAAAGCCACTAAGACGCAGGGCGTTACTGGGTAGAGAAAGACGTTTTCCCGGTGCGCATATTCGACTTTGTCTACGAAGAGACAGACCTTCAGGCGAAGAAAAATTTCCTGATTTCAAGCGAAATTTATCTTGTCAATGATCACTCACTATTTTTTTTCATATCAAATTAGAAATAAAGAGATCAATTATAAAAGATCCAACTCACTACATGTGATAAGACGACTGGCACATGAGAGTATATTTTCATCAATGACAGTGTAAAGAGCAATTTAAAAGACTTGAAAATTATATCATACGTGAAATATTTTCCTCCAGAACAGAAAGTTAGAAGATTAGAGAGAGCTAAGATCATCTTGAATAATTTGGAAAATGATCCTAGAATATATATATATATATATATATATATATATATTCAATATATTAAGAAATGGACAAAGTCCGACAATTTATTTATTAAAGACATTTTTTATGTTTAACGTTGTTTTTTTATAGATACAAGTATTTAAGTAAATGCTCTGTTTATGATGAACAGTATTAAATAACATTTACCAGCCTGAATGTCCGAGAAATTTTCATAGATAATATGACTTTGACGGAAGTTCGAACCTGCATTCTATACGGAACGTCATTTTACATGACGTGCCTTATCGATCGGTACAAAGGGCGTTCGGTGACAAGGTCAATTTACTGCTTCATAAACTTCAATCTTCCATGAATCTCGTACATTCATAACTGCTCTGGCGTATCAAATGTAAACAAATGACGTCATACCGAACTTGAGTTGAATTGCTCAACTTGAGTAAGATAATCCGTCCTAAGATACAACAGTTCAGATCTTAACCTACCAATTGGACAATTTTGCTGTTTCACCCGGTACAGATATATGTGTGTGTCTATGTATGTATGTATGAATATATACATGTATGTATATTCCTAATAACTTAAGTAGTTAACGGCGATTTGTTTTAATCTGACAATGTTTCTTGTTATAACCTTTAAATACGTAGGTATGTGTCTTTAAGCAGATGCCACTCTTTATTTACAAATTGTGGAATTAACATCTACATCATCAGAAGTATATAAAAAAGAACTCTACCTCCTGCGGGGAATTAAATGTCCTTTCTCATTTTTAAGATACTTCATATATTCCTCAATATGACCTTCATGATCTTGATCGGTAGACATAAATTTTATGCTTAAAATAATCTTTTAATATCTATCTATCTTTTTACACACACACATATATATATATGTGTGTAAAAAGATAGATAGATATATATATAAAGAATGTTTAATTGAATAATTTATACAAATTGTGTCTACTTATTTTCAATAGGATCCTCTCCTTTTGCAGACAAGCTTCTTAGTATCTTTATTAAAGTAAGACAGAATTTTTTATGATACATATTCATTTATTCTGAGTACTTTTGACATGAGCTCAATGTCATCATCAGGGTGCTGTTTTTTCTAAGTCAAAAATTCTTGTTCTTCTAAAAGCTAAATATTTTACTTGTGATGTGAAAAAATAATGGAGGTCATCATTATTGAACATATGTATAACATTAGTGCACCAGGTCTCTGTAATCGGCCCTTCAAAAAGTGTGGCTGGTCTTGCACGAAACCTTCACCACTATAATCAAATCTCATGTGCTGTTGTCGGGCAGTCGGTTTCCTGGGAACTGATCTGCATGACTCTCATACGTCGAATTCGGCGGGAGAGTCGACTAATATATATATTCATGATGATGATCATCTCCATTATTTATTTCCAACGTTTTACATATCTATAAACTGGACACGCCAGCTATTTCTACGGTGTAAGATCAGCTTCATTTTCTCCGTATAACAAATGAATGGACAAGGTTCAACTCTGAAAGCTTTATCACACTAAGTGACATGTTGTGGAAAAGAATACCTCCTGTATTCCTCTTTGAACTTTACAATCTTAACCTCTTTATATCAGCGGTCAATCGATATCTATTCCCTTTGTCCTCATAATTTTCCCTTTACCAATTTTCCTTTCTTTCATATCACAGTAATTACCATAACCATTTTGAAAGGTACTCTCTTGCCTGAGTCACTATTGATCCTTTTTCCTTTTATTAGTTGAACACTCATGTACAAATGTGTATAAGAGCTTAGAAATGGATTTA